TGCATGTATATTGGAGTGGCTAGCTGTTTGTTTGCTCGCTGGATCGCGCGACTGATTGCCTACGGTGTTGCTTGCGTCATTGCGTAAGAGCGTGCCTACGGGGTTGATTGCGTGTGCACTTGATTGGTTGGACAAGTGTTCGCGTGCTCTCTTCCACGCTTCCTTTGTATGGTTGTGTACTCGCTTCCGTGCATACGTGCGCGATTGCTTGAATTTCGCACTGCGGACGAACAGTTGTGTGCTTGTGTTCACGCATGTTTTCCCAAACAGCGCCTGAGCTTAAGAACCCTGAAGCTGTTCTTACTTGTGCCTTGAAGGAGTGGGCCCTGATTTTTTTGGGGGCGGGGCCCTTAATCGCCACGAGGTGGCGCGAGGGGTTGCACGGCGAAGCGAATGGCCCAGTGTGTAATATTTACCAGCCGCTTGCCGCCACGCGCATCTGCGGCGGGTTGCGCGGTGGCTGCGCGGTGCGCGGGTGGCTTGCGCCGTGCGCGGCGGTTCCGCACGCGCACACGCACGCACAGAGGGCTCAGCACACAGAAGTATGCAGGGCTCTGCACATCTCGGGCTCCATTCTGTACGGTTCCACGCACGAAGGGTTCCGCTCACATAGAGGGTTCCACACACGGGGCTCCACACATAGGGCCCCACACCCGTAACACATAGGGTTCCACACACACACACACACACACACACACACACACACACACACACACACTTGTTGTTGGGCGATCGCGGCCTCGCACGCAGCGACGAGGCGGAGCAATTCGAGCAAACAGCACAGAACTAACGCACGCGACTGGGCCCTCAGACGCGGGGCCCAATTGAATCGACCGCCCATAGGCCACCTGGGCGTGGGTGGCGAGTGAAAAGAGTGTGACAACGTCCGAGGACGGATACGAGCAGCACAGCGACAAGCCAACCGACAGCGACGATTCAAAGGGAATGAGCGCACGCTATCGCGTAACCCGAAAGACCGACACAACGAGCAGTGCCGTCGAGTCAACTGAAGGTGGTGGCCACGCGTGAGGCCTCCGATGCCACCGAGGCAAGAACACGACCGCCTGACTAGGCGAGGAGTGTGGCAGGGAACTTGCAACCAGCGGAGCGGTGCAGGACGTAGTGGCGGGCCGCGCGGTCGCCGCCGAGCTAGCGCTTGGGGCGGGGAAAAAGACACACACACACACACACACACACACACACACACACACACACACACACACACGCTTTTCCGTCGACGGCGAGGCATGGCTGCACCAGCGATAGAGCTACACGGAGGCACCGAGAAGCGAATTGGCCAGCGTGCAGGAGAGGGGAAGGACGGACAGGGGTGCCGCGGAGGGGGGAGGAGGTGGGGCCACTCAGAGGCGGAAGACTTCCGACCTGAGCGTGCTCAGCGGGACCATGGCAGCAGTTAGGCCACAGCGCCTGGGCACCCACTGGCGATGACGGGGCCCAATACTTGGAGGCAAATACATCAGTGATGCCGTCGGTGAAGTAAGACTAGGTACTTGCACGTCAGGAAAAGCGCCGCGAGGTCGCCCAGGTGGGTAGCTGGGTTGACAGGGTACGGCAAGTCCACGGGCAATCTAGATTCCAGACTGCCACCAGCAAAATGCTGGGTCCGTGAGGCGGGTGCGGGCGGCAAGACCAGGCCCAGGAGCGCTGCCGCTGCGGCAGCAGCGCGAGCGCCATGGCGGCGCGCGGAGGGAGGGGGGGACAAGGCAAAGGGGGCGGAGAGGGGAGGGCAGGGGGGAGGAGCGCCCCGCCTGTAGGGAGGTCCCCGCAGGCGGGGCGGCAGCCCAGGCGCCTGGCGCCTGCGGGAGCTGGAGGCCAGCGGCCCGTGCACTGTACCGCTGTGGTCACCTACGATCTGGCCCACGGCCTCATGCGGGGCTGGGCGGCAGACACCCAAACTGCGGCTGACCGGCAGGGGGCTGCCGAGCGGGTCCACTACCTGCAACAAAATTGTGGCGTAAGCCGAGGGGCCACGCGCTGCCGGGGTGAACACTACGTGGCGGCTAACTGGTGCGGACTCATGTTGAAGGACTGACGGCCGGAGCCGTACAGAGCCACGCGCTGCTGGGGTGGACAGTACGCGGCCGATCAAGGGGCACTTAACCGGTGCAAAATCCTGTGTGGAAGGTCTGTGCTGCTGTGCTGAAAGGGGTATGCGTCACGCGCGCCGGGGTGACGGCACGTGGTGTCCAAGAGCATGAGGCAGGCGCGGTGGGCAGTGAGGCGACACACACATACATACATATACATACGTATATGTATATATGCAAGACTGCATTGGCGCCTCGCGCCATACGCCTTATTCCTGACGCTTCCCTGGCAAAGCAATGAATCATCGCTTGCTTCAGCAAGGGGTGACCTCGAGGCCTGGACGGGCGACCAGCTCATTTTTCTTAGATCCTTGGTGCTTGCTGACACTGCGTTCGCCCGATGCGCTTGCACGCTTGTGCGCAGGAGTGGGGAAGGAGCGATGCTTTCTTCACTCGCGAAGGTCTTTTTGATGAAGTGAGGAGTATTCCCACGACGCGCCGAAGAAGTCGCAGTAGCTCCGAACACATCGATTGTTCGTCGTTTCCTGAATGCCTGGAAGGTTTCAACCACTCAGGAAATCTTCGATCGTCGAACTTCGAATCTAGATCCATTGCCTGTCCCTCTCGATCGAGGAACTTAAACCTCGAGCCTCAAGCGTGGAACCAAGATCTTCGGGCCAGCTCGATGCACTTCGTAGGAAAACGCCGTCTGGTCATTTTTGGGGCTCTTTTGGGCCGTCCTGGGGCCATCTTGAGCCGCCCGGGGGCATTATTGAGCCGTCTTGGAGAGCTGGGGCCCTCCTGACGAGCTGGGGCACTCCTGATGCTTTCTGTAGCCATCTAGGGCCCTCTAGAGGGCCTCCAGTGGCCTTTTTCAGGGTTCCCCATGGCTTTCGTGGGTCTCTTGGGGGCCTTCTAGGGGCATCTTGGGCTTTTTGTAGGCAGTTTCGAGGCTCTCTGGGGCAGTCTTGTCGCCCCCTCGTGCCGTCTTCAAACCCTCTGGGGGGCCTCTTGGGCCGTCTTGGAGCGATATCGGTGGCATATCGGGCCGTCTTGGACGCTGCGAAGACCCAAACAGCAAATATGCTGAAAATGCACTTTTTCCTGGGGGGATGGGGCGGTTGTTGCTGTTTCGCGGCTATCTTAACGGCCTATTGGGGCGGCTTGAGGGCCTACTGTGCCGTCTTCAGACCATCGAGGTTCCTCTTGGAACGCTCTTGTGCTGTTTTGGGTCTCTCTTGCGCCTCTCCCATGACCCCTCTGATCGCTTTGAGTCTGCTCGCAAGGCCCAGCCAGGCGCCTTGGGAGGCCCCGAAGGGCCAGCGGACTCTTTCCAAGGGTGTCCAGGGGGCCGCCGGGACGTCCGAAAGGGCGTCCGGGGCGTCCCTGGGGGGGGGTCCGGTTGAGGGGCGGGGGGCTTTCGGGTAATAAGAATACAAGGATAGGAACAGGAATATATACATATATATATAGAGAGAGAGAGAGAGAGAGAGAGAGAGAGAGAGAGATTGGCGTCGCAGCCCCGCGCCCGGCGACGACGGGGCGTGGAAATTCGGGCGCAGACAGTGAAGCTCGCGCGTCTACGCCAGGCCAAGCATTCAGAGACCGTTTGGGGTCTCGTAGTTGGCAGCAGCCATAACCATCTGGGCTTGGGTGGTGGGGGGGCGATGAGTAGACGGAACTCCAGCGAGGATGGAAGGTGACATGGGCCAACCGGGACGAAAAGGCGGGGAGATCGACCGGTGGGGGTGCGCCCAGGAGCGACGGAGAGAGCAAGCTGAAAGCGGCGGAGCCGCAAAAATCGCAGGCCGAAGGAGCCGCGAAAGCCGGCGGAGCCGGGCGGTGCGCCGAAAACGGCGGCGGCCGAGAGGGCGACTTTTGAGGGAGCGGCTCGTGCCGACCCCCCAGAAGGAGGGGGCCCGACAGGGAGCGGGGGAGGGAAAGCGCAGGCGGGCAGAAGGCGGGCAGCAGGCAGAGAGCGGCGAAGCGGCACAGGACCGCGGCGACGGCACAGGGGCCGCGCCGGGCGGTGCCAGCAGGCAAGGGTCCGAGGCGGATCCGCCGCCCCAGGCAAGGGGGGGGCAGGCAGTGGCCGAGGCCCTGTGGGCCCTGGGGGGAGGGCTGGAACGCGCGCGGGCGCACCACTCGGGCAGCGCTGGCCGCAGCGAAAAGCGAGGCCCAGGATTGAAAAAAGGGGTGGAGCCCCAGCGCCGCCACCGAACGTCCCAACCGAACCCGTCGGGGCAGGGGCCCGTCCAGCGAGGACAGGGACCACGGGGGGGGCGTCCCAGCGGGGCCCACCGGAGTGTAGCGAAAGTACTGCCCCCGGGGCTGGGGTGCTAGGCCCAGTGGGGCACGGCAGAGGGCGATGGCCCCATGCGCGAAGCCGACTGCGAGAAGCGAGAGCTGGCTCCGAAGCAGAGAGCGCCGATGCCTGAGATGGCAGGAGGGGCGCAGCGGGACTCGCCGCCGCTTCCGCGAGTGGTGCTGAACGTACGGGCAGGAGGCAGGCAGGCCATTTTCTCGCACGCTCATACACACATACTCACACACGCACACACACACACACGCCTTTTCTCGACTGGCGCACAGTCCTTCGCGAATTCCACCCCCACACACACCCGCACACACACACACACACACACACACACATGTGGCGCCACACAGATAGGGCTCCACACGCGCACGTTTTAAAACACAACGCTTCAACAACCAACTGCTTGGGGTCCACACGCTGGCATCATGAATGCTCCCATGCTTGCTTGATTGCTTCTGCGCACCCCCCTGTCCGCGTGCATATCACCACACCTGTGTTGCGCGAATCCCCGCCATGATTTGCGCACGGTGTTGGCAGCTTGGCTAGACTCCAGATCTTGACGCTCTCTTCGTTGCCGCTGTCAGCGCTTGCAGTCGGTGGGGCTCAGGGTGGTAGCCTTCCTCGATCGGCCGACGATGAATGAGCCCCACTCGTCTCTGGCGTATGAATATGGCCGGTGCCAGGAAGCATGGGCGCCCGCCTCTGCACCGTCCACGCCGGAGTGGTGCAGTTACAGCGAGCGGCTCATCCCAAGCAGGGCCTCCTCGAGCCTGGAGAGCGGGCCCCCGCTCTTGGACGAGGGCGCGCAGCAGCCACCGGGCAGCGCGGCAGACGGCACGAGAGACGAGAACAGCGCGGCCTACGCGCAGCTCCTGCGCAGCGAGCTTCTCGGGGCACGCCCTCGGCTGGGCAGGGGCGAGGAGGGGCGGAGTGCGCCAGACTGCAGGAACGTGCTCCGGTTCAAGTCTGAGCCGCAGTTGTCTCAGGGCGGCGCCTTCTCGCTGTCCCCGGTCCCTCTCCATGGCCACGACGTCCTCGGCACTCCGCGGAGGGCGCCCCGCAAGATTGCCAGGGTCCCCTTCAAGGTGCTCGACGCGCCCCAGCTCCAGGACGACTTCTACCTGAACCTGGTAGACTGGTCTGCGGCCAACGTGCTGTCGGTCGGGCTGCACAGCTGCGTCTACCTGTGGAGCGCCCACACCAGCCGCGTGACCAAGCTGTGCGACCTGGGCGCCGACGACACGGTAACCTCGGTGAGCTGGACGCAGCGGGGCAGCCATTTGGCCGTGGGAACGAACAGGGGAGAGGCCCAGGGGGCGCGAAAGGGGGAACAGACCCAGGGGGGCGGGGACCATCGGACTCTTGTCGCCCGTTCATCGCCGACCTTGGCTCGGGAACGACCCCATCCTGCCCAGGATTGTGGGGCCTCGCTGTCGGGGGCCTGTCGCAGATCTGTCGGTGACGTATCGATGCGAGGGCGATGTTATCCCCCCCGCCTCGCCGGCTACCCCGCATCGCCCCACCCTCAGAGGTCCAGATTTGGGATCCAGCCCACTGTCGTAAGCTGCGGACTATGACTGGCCACTGCGGCCGTGTTGGGACGATGGCGTGGAATGGATACGTTCTGTCCACCGGCAGCCGGGACCACAGCATCTTGCACAGGGACGTGCGACAGCAATCACACTACACGTCGAGGTTACAGGGGCACCGTCAGGAGGTCTGCGGCCTGAAGTGGTCGTATGACGAGCAGCAGCTGGCCTCAGGAGGCAACGACAACAAGTTGTACGTGTGGAATTTGCGGTCCACCTCGCCAGTGCTGAGACTCAACGAGCACCAGGCAGCGGTCAAGGCGATCGCCTGGTCGCCCCACCAGCATGGGCTGCTCGCCTCTGGCGGTGGAACTGCCGACCGGTGCATCCGTTTCTGGAACACGATTAACAACACGCCGCTCTCTTCCGTAGACACCGGGTCTCAGGTGTGCAATCTGATTTGGTCCAAGAACGTCAACGAGGTCGTTAGCACCCATGGGTATTCCCTAAACCAGATCATTCTCTGGAAGTATCCCTCCATGTCGAAGGTAACGACTCTGACAGGCCATACTTACAGAGTCTTGTATCGAAGACGCCTACGGCGAATCACCGCCGCCCCCAACGGAAGGCGCAAATTCGAGACGCTTCGCGTATCCCCACCAGCCCGCCGCTAGTCGCGGCCGAAGCCCGCCCGCGACCGCCCGCCGCTGGCGCTTCCGCCTGCGGCTGTAAAAAAAAACAAAAAAAAAACAACAACAACAACAACAACAACAACAACAACAAACAAAACAAAACAAAACAAAACAAACAAAAAAAAAAAAAACGTATCCCCACCAGCCCATCCAGAAACGACGCCCAGGCGAGTAAAGGGCCGTCCTGAGGGACTCTTGGGCGTCTTGGGTGCCTCGGGGAGGTCTCTTGGGGCCGCTTGGGGTCCTCTTGGGGGCCTCTTGGAGGCCGCTTGGGGCCATCATGGGGCCATCTTGGGGCCATCTTGGGACCTCTTGGTGCCTCCTGGGCGCTTCTTGGGGCCATCTTGGAGGAGATCGATCAAACAAGAGGGGAGCTTCAATTAGGATCCCCCCCTCAGGAGGCCAAACTGGGGCCAAAATCTTAGTAAAATCAATGATTTGGGCTTCCTCGCCGAGGCCGTTTTGGATGCCCTGACACCTCGCGGGACCCCCCGTCCAGGTCCAGGGGAGGGGGTAGGGGGAGGGGTAAACCCCTCCCCGGAGGGGAAGAAGGAGGGTGGAAGAGGAAATTCTCTAAACCACCGACGCCCAGAGGGCTGGTGGGATTATCCGGCGGCAGGAGGAGGGGAAGACGGGCGAAAGCGGCCGCGAGGGAGGACGGAGGGAGGGGAGGGCACTCGCATGGCCAGGTGCATCGCCGTGAAGCGGCCGGGGCGGCCAGCCAGCACGGCACCCCTGGCCGCGCGCGGCGTCACGGCCGCACCCAGACGCTGGAAGAACGCACACGTGTCTCGAGGACGTGTGGGATCCCCCCCCCCTCCTCCGCCTGCATGGTGGCGCAGCTCGCTCGCACGGCATCCCCGTTGAGGCCCGATCCGTCGCTGGCGCAGGCGTCTCCTGCCCAGCCGCCGACGCGGGAAGTGTTTCGACGACGTCTCCCCTCCAGGGAGTGGCGCCTCCTCCTCCTCCTCCTCCTCCTCCTCCTCCTCCTCCTCCTCCTCATCCTCCTGGAGGAGGAGGAGGAGGAGGAGGAGGAGGAATCTTCAAAGATAGTCCCCCAACAAAAATTGGTGACGTTCTTCTTTTATTGTGTTTGGACCATGTGGGGATGCCTTATCTGTTGCCCAAAACCCGCCCGTAGGAGGACATGCCCGACGGCCCGAGGTTGGAAGCCGCGGCAGGAGCATCGAGGGGGCCCTTCTGGCCGCGCCGCGCCTCGGCTGCAGACGGGTTCTCCCCGACGTGCACCTCTCGGGAGCGGCCCGAGAGTGCCGTCTTGGGGCCCCCGCCTCCGAGACGTGGCCACGAGTCCCGGTGTTCCAGACTCAAGCAGTGGCGAAGCGCCCTGGCTCGCCGATAGGCCTACCAAACAAAGCTCCGAGCACCACGAGACGTGGCCCATCCGAGATGGGCCTCCCAGATGGGGTCGGGATGTATGGTGTCGGGGGATCGCGCCGCATCGCCAGTGCATTGACGATGCGGCTCGATGTGGAGCCCGCGTTTCCCCACGCCGGCGATGCCGCGCGATCCTCCTTCGACCCCGTCTGCTCCGACCCCATCCAGGAGGCCTCTAACTTGGTCTTGCCTTGGGATGTTTCAACCTATTGTAGCCTTGGCCACCAGAATGAAGAATTCCGAGCACCAACAAAGTACCGAAACGCGAGGGTCTTCACGTGTCGGGCCCTGGGAGGCGATGCTCGTTGGACACTGCTTCGAGTTGCTTTTCTGGGTGCTCGAAATCATGTCTGGGATGTGGTCCTCAAGTACGAAACACAAGCCCAGAGCTGCGTTCCATGGGGGGGGGCTCCGGGCGCCCCCCCCCCTAGGGGAACAGCTCCAGGCCACGGCGGAGGCACGTATACGGGCCCTCAGCCACCCCCCAGAGGCCTCTGCAAGTCGGCGCCCCTTCCCCAGGGGGAAGGAGAGAACCAGAAGGACGGTTCTCGGGTCGGGAGGATAGGCGGCGCGCCCATCAAAGAAGAAAAAACGCCGTAAACATAAATGTTCGACGCTCCGCGCGGATTTCTTGGATCCGCGCCTGGCACCCCGCCCCCCTCGGCGCCTCCGGCGCCGCCCCTGGCGCGCTCCTCCAGGGAAGGGGTTCCAGCGCAGATCCAAGAAATCCACACAGAGCGCCAAAAGTGTATGTTTATGCCGTTGTTCTCTTCTTCCGGTTGTCTGGTCGGGAGGATGGGCGGCGATCCCAGGGGGCAAGTGAGAAGGGACGGGCCTTCTCAGAAGGCTCGAAAGTGCCCTGGGCCTACTGAGAGGTTTCCTAGGCCTTCCCCGAATACACGGAGGACTCCTCAGAAGGCGTGAGGGTTTCGGAGAAGTTCCGCCGCCGCCTGAGAAGGCCTTCTCATTCTCATTTCCTCCCCTCGCTCGCCGCCAAGAGGAACGGGCTGGGACACCTGATCATATCATCAATGCTGCCGCGTACGCTGCAGGCGCTTCTTGCACAGCCGTGCCCTGTATCTTCCCAGCCCCTTCCTCGTTCTGCGTCGTCCGTCGGAGAAGGCTCAGAGAACTTCTCAGAAGGCCAGAGGCCTTCCGAGCCTTCTGAGAAGGCCCTCCCCTTCTCACTCCCCCTTGGGCCCGCCGCCGATCCGAAAAAGTCGCGCGAGCCGCCCCAGGAGCGCCCAAGCACACCCGCAAGTCTGGGCCTTCGGCCTTTCGACAAGCGTTTACAGCACTCAAGCAGGGAGCGAACTCGAAGGAACCCGGGGACACACTGCACTTCGTGCCTCGGGGCGCGGCGGCGGGTCTGGCCATATCGCAGGACGGGCAGACCATTGTCACAGGGGCCGGCGACGAGACGCTGCGATTCTGGAACGTTTTTCCACACTCTAAGTTGAGATCTGGTTCTGGACTGACCTCGGCGACTTTGCCTTTGGGTCCAGCCATCCGCTAGCCAGCGATCTACAAGGTCGGATTTGCCCTCTTCGGGTGCTGTTCCGCAGTTTTTTTTTTCTCCATGGCACACGTTTCCCACAATGTGCGTGCTCGGCGAATGACTCGCAGTTGAACGCTGGATCAGTCGTGCCACGGAGGTGATGAAGGCACAGTGCTAATGGCGCCCGCTCCTCCGCTAAAATTTCCCTCTCCGCCATCGATGTGTTTGGGGGCTCCCAGTAAGGCACCCGCCCAGGAGGCGCGACGGCTCAACATGTCACATGTCCGTATCCCGTGGGGATGGCGGTGATGATCCATGACTGTTCTGGAATTCAGGCCTCGTCGGGGGTGTCACCTTCGGTGCCTCGTCCCTTATTCCCAGCCGTCCTGTGGTGTTGGGTCCTCGTTTTGAAAAGACGGTCCCCGCGTTCTCCTCCCGCCTCCTTCCTCCTCCCCCTCCTCCCTCCTCCCCCTCCTCCTCTCTCCCTACGCTTCACCCACTCAGGACAGCGCCTCGTGGCCCCATAGGGAGCTCCGCCGAAGGCGCCAGAGGCAGGGTTCGCATAGCGGCCTCGGGCCATTCGGGCACACCCCTCACGAGGATCGTGGCCCCATAGGGAGCTCCGCCGAAGGCGCCAGTGGCAGGGTTCGCATAGCGGCCTCGGGCCATTTGGGCGCACCCCTCACGAGGATCGTGGCCCCACAGGGAGCTCCGCCGAAGGCGCCAGAGGCAGGGTTCGCATGGCGGCCTCGGGCCATTTGGGCACACCCCTCACGAGGATCGTGGCCCCATCGGAGCTCCACCGAAGGCGCCACTTGCAAGGTTCGCATGGCGGCCTCGGGCACACCCCTCACGAGGATCGTGGCCCCATAGGAGCTCCACCGAAGGCGCCAGTAGCAAGGTTCGCATGGCGGCCTCGGGCCATTTCGGCACCCCTCACGAGAACCGTGGCCCCATAGGGAGCTCCACTGAAGGCTCCAGTGGCAGGGTTCGCATGGCGGCATTTCGGCATACCCCTCACGAGGATCGTGGCCCCATCGGGAACCCCACCGAATGCGCTAGTGGCAAGGTTTGCATGGCGGCCCCGCCCCATTTTGGCGCACCCCTCACGAGGATCGTGGCCCCATAGGGAGCTCCACCGAAGGCGCCAGTGACAGGATTCGCATGGCGGCCTGACTGTTTGACTTTGCGCCGCGGCAGACCCGCGCGCGTCGCTGGGACCATCTCGGGGCGACCAGCGCGCGTCGCGGGAACTCCATGCTGCGCTTTGCCCAGCGCCTCGCTCGACCCCGTCGTCGGCCTGCCCAGCGGCCAGAGCCTTGCCCGCTATCAGCCAGCCAGCTAGCTCTCTCTGCTCTGCGCAGCGGACCCGCGCGCGTCGCCGGGACCCCGTCGGGGCGACCGGCGTGCGTCACGGGGACTCCGTGCGGCGCCGCACCCGCAGCCTTGGACATTGGCGTGCACGGACAAAGAGGGAGAAAAAGAACGGGAAGGAAGCGGGCGGGACCCTTGTGAGGGGCGTGCCGACATGGGCGTCGATATTCATGCACGTAGACTCATGCGCGCGCAGACTCATTCATAATCAGACCCACTCGCGTTCAGACGCACCCGCTCTCAGTCTCTCGTACGCAGACCTATCGTCTTCGCTCGCGTTGTGTACCCCGCCACGCATGTCGGTTCGCCCCTCACACGGTTCGTGGCCACATAGGGAGCGCGGGCGAAGATGGCATTCACGATTGCGGCATTCACAGCTGCATGTGGTTGGGTCTTTCGCCAGGCGAATGTTTTCCAACTTTGCTGCGTTGTTGGGTCATCGCTTTGACACCGCAGCGCCGTGCACCATCTCCTCCTCCCCCTCGCTACCCTTCCCCCTCGCCATCCAATTCCTGCCCCCGCCTGTTCTGGCACACCCTTCGCACGTTTCGTGCCCCAAACGGGAGTTCCACCTACGGCCCCAGAAACACGCGATTCGCATGCCG